GTAGCTGGGACTACAAGTGCCCGCTACTATGCCCGGCTAATTTTTTTGTATTTTTAGTAGAGACAGGGTTTCACCATGTTAGCCAGGATGGTCTCGATCTCCTGACCTCGTGATCCGCCCGTCTCGGTCTCCCCAAGTGCTGGGATTACAGGCGTGAGCCACCGCGCCCGGCCTGCTACACACTTTTAAACCAACCAGAGCTCATGAGAACTCACTCACTATCACGAGAACAGCAAGGAGGCACTCTCCCTCCATGATCCAATCACCTCCCACCAGGTCCCTCCCCTAACACTGCGGATTATAATTTGGCATGAGATTTGAGCAGGGACACAAATCCAAACCATAGCAGGGGCTCTCACTATTTTGCCCAGACTGGTCTTGAACTCATGGCCTGACAAGCGATCCTCCCGCCTCTGCTTCCCAAAGTGCTGTGATTACAGGTATGAGCCACCACATCAAGCCAACATAGGGATCGGCACTCTAGCCTAGGCGACAGAGGAGACTCCGTCTCAAAAAAGTTAATTAATTAATTAATTAAAATAAATAAATAAATAAATAACCCTACACCTTCTGCCTCTGTGACTTTGCTTGTTCTCGGTATTTCGTGTGAATGGACCCATGCATCTGGTGGTCCGGGCACATTTCAAACGCTTAGCCCCCACGTCGGCCCATGGCCTCCGGATTGGACCGCGCGGGACGGGGGTGCGCGGGGCGCCCAATCCCTCCGGAGCATCTGGAGTGGCCAGTGGCCAGGTGCAGGCGCGGGCGGCGGCGGCAGGGGGCATCTGAAGGGCCGGGAAGCCCGGAAGTGGTGCAGGAAACCGCCGACCACACTGGCTTGTGATCACGGGCACCCAAATTCAAGACAGCCCTAGAGACATAGCAAGAGTCTGTCTCTACAAAAAATTAAAAATTAGCCAGGCATGGTGGTGCGTGCCTGTGGTCCCAGCTACTCGTGAGGCTGAGGCGGGAGGATCACTTCAGCCTCGGGATTTGAGGCTGCAGTTAGCTATGACTGTACTACTGCGTTCCAACCTGGGTGACAGAGTAAGACTTTGTCTAAAAAAAAAAAGAGAGAGAAAGGGAGATGGGAAGATTCTGTGCTGCTGACTTTGAAGATGTTGGATGGGGAGCCAAGGAGTGCAGGGAGCATCTAGAAGCTTGGAAGAGGCAAGAAAATGGACTCTACTTTAGGACCTCCAGGAGGAATGCAGTCCTGCAGACCCATTTTAGACTCTGACCCCCTAAATTCTAAGACAACAAATTTGTGTTCTTTTAAGCCATTAAATTCGTGGAATTTGTTACCTCAGCAATGGAAAAATGATACAAGGGGGATATAAGTAATAAGCAAAGGAGGAGATGTTTTGGTGAGCTGGAAGTTTGCCCAGCTGGGAGAAATCTAACAGAAATTTACTTGGGACCAGTAACAAGGATAAGGAGCCGGAAAAGGCTAGAAATCAACAAACGAGCAGATAAAAAGGGTTAGAGAACATAGATATGGGCAGATTGCCAACAACTGAAGAGAATGGATATATTGGTTTGCTGGGGCTGCCATAACAAAATAGCACACACAGGGTGACTTAGACAATAGAAATGTATTTGCTCACAGTTCTGGAGGCAAGAAGTCCAAGATCAGGGTGCCTGCTGAGTTGGTTTCACACGGCTACCTTCTTGCTGTGTCTTCACATAGTCTTTCCTCCGTGTGAAAACATCCCTGGTGCCTCGTGTTTTTTTCTTTATTTTTTAAATAAAAAGAGAGAGAGAGAGAAAGTCTCGCTATGTTGCCCAGGCTAGTTTCGAACTTCTGAGCTCAAGCAGTCCTCCTGACTTGGCCTCCCGAAGGGCTGGGATTACAGGCATGAGCCACCACGCCCAGCCCCTGGTGCCTCTTTGTGCGTCCAAATTTTTTTTTTTTTGAGACGCAATCTTGCTCTGTCACCCAGGCTATAGTGGAGTGGCTCGATCTCGGCTCACTGTAACCTCCGCCTCCCAGATTCAAGCGATTCTCCGGCCTCAGCCTCATGTGTAGTTGGGATTACAGGCATGTGCCACCACACCCAGCTAATTTTTGTATTTTTAGTGGAGACAGGGTTTCACCATGTTGGTCAGGCTGGTCTTAAGTGATCTTCCTACCTCAAGTGAGCCTCCTGCTTTGGTCTCCTAAAGTGCTGGGATTACAGTGTGAGCCACCGAGCATGGCCCCAAATTTCCTCTTCTTATAAGGACACCAGACAGATTGGATTAGAGCTCATCCTAAAGGTCTCACTTTAACTTCATTGCGATTTTAAAGGCCCTATCTTCAAACACAGTCGCCTTCTGAGATACTGGAAATTAGAGCTTCAACGTATGAATTTTGGAGGGCATCATTTAGCCCATAACAACTGGGTTGGTAAGTTGAGGGACAGCCTACAGAATAGCTGGTTAGTGGTCTGGCTTTGAGACTAAGGCCATTTGACAGTTCAACACAATGTGAAGCAATCCGGGATTGGAGGCCAGACTGGGAACAGAGAACCTAAGGGTGACGATTGGTGATCATTTGAATAAGATCTGTAGATTAGGTAAGCGTATGATCTCTGTGCTTATTTCCTTGTTTTGATCATTGTACTGTGGTCATGTAAGATGTCAATATTTCAGGAAGCTTGGGTGAAGAGTATGTGGTAACTCTTTGTACTATTTTTGCAACTTATTTCAAAGTCTGTAGTTATTTCAAAATTAAAAGTTAAAAATCAAGGCTGGGCACAGTGGCTCACGCTTGTAATCCCAGCACTTTGGGAGGCCAAGGCCAAGCGGATCACCTGAGGACAGGAGTTGGAGACCAGCCAGGCCCACGTGGCGAAACCCTGTCTCTACTAAAAATACCAAAATGAGCCAGGCATGGTGGTGCATGCCCATAGTCCCAGCTACTCGGGAGGCTGAGGCAGGAGAATCACTTAAACTTGGAAGGGAGAAGTTACAGTGAGCCGAAATCACACCACTGTACTCCAGCCTGGGCAACAGGAGTCTGTCTCAAAAAAAAGAAAAAAAAGAAAAGTTAAAAATCAGGGCCAGGCGTGGGGGATCATGCCTGTAATCCCAGTATTTTGGGAGGCTGAAGTGGGCAGATCATGAGGTCAGGAGTTCAAGACTATCCTGGCTAACACGGTGAAACCCCGTTTCTACTACAAATTCAAAAATAAAAAAAAATTAGTTGGACGTGGTGGCGGGTACCTGAAGTCCCAGTTACTTGGGAGGCTGAGACAGGAGAATGGCGTGAACCCGGGAGGCGGAGCTTGCAGTGAGCCGAGATTACGGCACTGCACTCCAGCCTGGGTGACAGAGCAAGACTCCATCTCAAAAAAAAAAAAAAAATCAGAGCTGGGTTTGGTGGCGTGTGCCTGTAGTCCCAGCTACTGGGGATGCTGAGGTGGGAGTACCGCTTGAGTCCTGGAGTTCAAGACTAACCTGGGAAACACAGCGAGAACCTTCTTTCAAAAATAAAAAAATGCAATCATTAAAAGTGAAACATTTGAAAACTGAATAAAAGTAGGGTAAATAGAGAAGAGAACAGGGTTGGATGTGACTGTGAAAGAGTAGGAAAAAAGGTCAGAAAAGGCCGGACATGGTGGCTTATGCCTATAATCGCAGCACTTAGGGAGTCCAAGGCAGGAGGATGACTTGAAGCCAGTAGTTCAAGACGAGCCTGGGGCAACATAATGAGACCCTGTCTGTACAAAAAAATTACAAAATTAGCTGGGCATGGTGGCAGGTGTCTGTAGTCCCAGTTACTCGGGAGGCTGAGGCAGGAAGATCTGTTGAGCCCAGGAGTTTAAGGTTGCAGCGAGCTATGATTGCATCACTGCACTCCAGCCTGGGAAACAGGGTAAGATCCTATCTCAAAAAAAAAAAAAAAAAAAAAAAAAAAAAAAAATCAAGAAAAAAAGAAGTAAGGAGAAAAATGAGTTCTATGAGGTGAGAGACTCTACAGTGTCTGTTGCTTGGGTTCCCACTAACACCCCACTTTTGGGACAGTGCCTGGAAGCTGGGAGCTCAGGATATGTTTTGGGAAGTGATGATCACTGAGGCACAAACTGAAGAGGAGAAGGCACATGGGCCTCCTCTCGCATTCATAAAAGCCCTCGCATTCTAACTTTTGATATTCTCTCTAGAGGAAGTCACACAATCAGTTTAGTGTATTGCGTGTGTTGCAAATGTGAATTCGTGGCCTGCAAACATTTAAAACACATTGCCATTTTGGCGACTGAGTTTTGCTATCCCTTCATTTCTTTTTCCCTTTTTTTTTTTTTTTTTTTGAGAGGGAGCCTCGCTCTGTTGCCCAGGCTAGAGTGCAGTGGCACCATCTCGGCTCACTGCAAGCTAATTACAATACTTTTCTCTTTTTTTTTTTTTTCATAGAGCAGGGGTCTTCCTATGTTGCCCAGGCTGGACTGGAACTCCTGCCCTCAAAGGATCCTCCTAATTCTCCCAAAGTGCTCGGATTACAGACATGTGCCACTGCGCCCGGCCAAATGCATCCCTTTTTTTTAGTGTACAATTCAGTGGTTTTTAATATATTCACAAATTCATGTAACCATCACACCTATCTAATTTCAAAACGTTTTTGGCCGGGCGCGGTGGCTCACGCCTGTAACCCCAGCACTATAGGAGGCCGACGGGCGGATCACTCGAGATCAGCCTGGCCAACATGTTGAAACCCCGTCTCCACTAAAAATACAAAAATTAGTCGGGCGTGATGGCGCACGCGTGTAGTCCCAGCTACTCGGAAGGCTGAGGCAGGAGAATCGCGTGTAGTCCCAGGGAGGCGGAGGTTGCAGTCAGTCCAGATTGGGCCGTTGCACTCCAGCCTGGGCGACAGAGCGAGACTCCATCTCAAAAAATCTAAATAATTAATAAAAATAAATAAATAAATAAATAACCCCATTACTTCTGCCTCTGTGGCTTTGCCTGTTCTGGGTATTTTGTGTGAATGAACCCATGCATGGGGGTGGGCCGGGCACCTTTCAAATGTTCAGCCCTCACGACGGCCCGTGGCCTCTGGATTGGACGGCGCGGGCTGGGTGTGCGCGGGGCGCCCAATCGCTCCGGAGCGTCTGGAGAGGGCAGGTGCAGGTGCGGGCGGCGCGGGCTCAGGGGCTGCTGGAGGCCCAGAAGGCTCGGACGCGGTGCAGGAAGCTGCTGACCACGCTGGCTTCTGATCGCAGGCGCCCACAGCGCGGACATGGCGGGCTGGTGGCCGGCATTGTCGCGCGCGGCCCGGCGCCACCCGTGGCCCACCAACGTGCTGCTCTACGGCTCGCTCTACTCGGCCGGGGACGCGCTGCAGCAGCGACTGCAGGGCTGCGAGGCCGACTGGCGCCAGACGCGGCGCGTAGCCACGTTGGCGGTGACCTTCCACGCCAACTTCAACTACGTGTGGCTGGGCCTGCTGGAGCGCGCGCTCCCCGGCCGCGCGCCGCGCGCCGTGCTGGCCAAGTTGCTCTGCGACCAGGTGGTCGGTGCACCCATCGCGGTCTCGGCCTTCTACACCGGTGAGGGGCCGGGAGGGGGCCTCGGGGGTGGGACCCGGTATTGGGGGACTGGAGGCAGGGACTCAGGATCAAGCAGCTGGAGGGGGGGCGCTGCAGGAGCCTGGGGACCCGGGTAGGAACTGAGGCTCTGAGACCGGGGTTGCTTCAGGGGCCTGGAGGGCCAGGGCAAAGGCTGGAGACTGGGGTGTTTGCGAGAAGTTGCGGGGGGCACTGGCTGGGAAGCCGGGAAATTGGGAAGCCAGAGGTCCAGCGGGTCAGGGGCTAGGGTCGGGGCTCAGACGCGGGGGTTGGATGTAGGTCAAGGCTGGCGCTGGCAGGGCTGGGGAGGTCTTTTCCCCCTGGAAAAGGGTCCACGGGAAAATAAAGGAGATCCCAGTTCAAGGCCATAGCAGCTGCATGACCATGAACCAGTCGTGGGCAGGGAAGGGACCGACCTGCTGTTCAGAAAATCCATGCCTGGGGCTCCGGGGCCAGCACAGGAACAAAACGCAAGGGGACCCATGACCCTGGGGGGCAGAGCAGGTGGAATCTGAGGTTGGGCCTGGATCTTCAGAAAACTCATGCCCAGGGGCCTAGTCCTGCTTTGGTGACAAGATTTTCCCCTGGGGGTCCCACGGAAGACATCAAGGGACCTTGGATCCTTGCCATTGGAGGACTATATACCTGTGAGGGTTCAGGGAACCCTCTCCTTAGAAAATGCGACCCGGGCCTGGGGTTTGGGGGACAGGGGCTTGACTGTGGAAACCTTCTCTACTGCCTACAATAAGAACAATGGAAATGTTACCTGAAAAATACCGGGATTCATTCCGGAACCTAACGAGTCCCAGATGACTCCATCAAGAGGCAGGTTTTGATCAATGGGAGTTTTACTTGGCACAAATAAGGAAGACACTGGGCGTGTTCTCCAAAGTAGTGTGTCCCCCCGAGAAGGAGACAGGAGGGTTTTATGGGGTGATGGAGAAAGGAGAGGGCGCGTGATTGCATGCAGAGTAGGAGTCCCAGTGAGTCATGATGCTAGCACATAGATTGCATAGGTTACATAGGTTATAGTCATGAAGCTATAGCTTCTCCCAGGGTGAAGACTTTAGCATGGAAATGAGGAGAGTTAACTTGGGTTCATCTATAAGTAACCTGGGGTCACTTCGGAGCTGGTTTAAACAAACAGGGTGACCTCATTCCACCCAGGGTTGGGGAAGAACAGGTTGAGGGCAGGAGG